GTGTGTGTGTCGTGTGTGTGTGTGTGTGCGCGTGTGTGTGTGTGTGTGTGTGCGCGCGTGTGTGTGTGTGTGTGTGTGTGTGTGTGTGTGTGTGTGTGTGTGTGCGTGCGTGTGCGTGCGTGTGCGTGTGCGTGCATATGTGTGTATGTATGTATGTGTGTGTGCGTGCGTGTGTGTGCGTATGTATGTGGTGCTAGGCACAATATATACCCATGTGTACCTAATATAATGTATATAAAATTATATATATACATATATATATATATATCTATCTAAGATATATAGAGCCTTATATAGTTAAACATGCTGCTTAATTATTCTTTTGGAAATTCGGTGCAAGGCGAAGTAGATTCTGGTTGAAGTTCATAAATTAAAAAACATTACACGAGGTATATTTATAAATATACATAAAATGTCTTATATATTATAATTATGGTGATTTAATATGCTGGAAGTGCACGAAAAAGAAGGGGAATATAAAGGCGTGCCAGAAAATTACAAATTCTATAAAAGTAGCTTCTATTGAAATGGGAAATCGTTAAAGATCTCTAATTATTAAGATTAAGTTGTAATCACAAAGTAATTCGCCGTCAATGATACTTCGCTAAATGGAGAAAAGAAATACTAATCAGCACAAAATGAAGCCAGAACAGGTGCCCTTTAAATTTGCGGTAAAGGTCAAGGATAGTAAATTCCCGTCAATGAAACACTGACTTGCTACATCACCATGGAGCGCCCTATTTCGTTATAGGAATGCCCATGGTGTTAAAACTACGCCTACCTACCCATAGATGGCGCCACGTTCCACGCTACATCCATTACGCACGGGCAGTATCAGGGTGTTGGTACCACTAGTATCACTGGCAGCAAGAACAAGTCCGCACCTGCAGCTACAGCACACACGCATCTATTGACTATATATAACAACATATTATCAAGAGCTAATAATGACAAATTTGTCATTATTAGCTCCTGATATTTTATATTATTATTAATATATAGTCAATAGATGCGTGTGTGCTGTAGCTGCAGGTGCGCACTTGTTCTTGCTGTCAGTGGGTAGTATAGCCATACCACAGCATCATCGCATGCATACCTCATCTCAATTTCACTCTCCTCACGCAGACACTTTAAACTACGGCACGGCAGCGTAGCGAGCGCAATGAACTCAGTCTGTGCTTTTAATGTTTTTAATTTATTTCTTAATTAAATTTTAACCAGTCACATCTAGGCGCTGACGCAAACAACAACACATGGTGGGGTGAGAACGTGTGAGCATATGTTATACACGTAAACAGAACGCGGGTGTACACATCCCACATATACAACATACACATATGAGCACACCCCCAACGGTGGCGAGCAACATAATTAATATAACAGCATATAGCTTTATTAATATAAGCGCACGTGTAATTATAGTTCTACTGTATTGTATCGTTACTAGCTATATTTGTATTGCACGTGCTTTCATCAATCCGCCTATACAGTCAGTATTATTTCTACGCCGTTCTAGTCGCAGTGAGGTACCATGTGGTGCATGCACAGAGGGGGAGAGAAAGAAAGAGAGAGAGAGAGAGAGAGAGAACCATAATTGCATGGGGCAATGCCTAACCTCCTCCATTCATTCTCCCGTTCTGCTGACACCGTGATGATAGCTTCCCCCACACACCCGCCTCTGTGTCACTGCTGCACAGCGGCACAGACGAGGGTGAACAGCAAGAGAACGCTTGCCATCGTGTTCGCCACACTCGCCACAATGACGCTCGCGACGTTGCTACGCTACAACCTGCGCCCGTATGCGCATGCGCTGCTTCCGCTGACGAAGTACAACTCGAGTTTCGCGGTAGGCGTGTACCGCGGGAGCGTCGCCGGCGATGACGTCGCGTCTGCCGACGTCCGACGCTTTCGCATTTCGAGTTCTTGCGTCGGCGACGCAGCGTGTCGTGACGCAAACCGCAGCGAGAGCGACGACGCGACGCTGGCCGCTCGCTTCGTGACGCACTTTGACGCCGATCGCGTCGCCATCGTCGACAGCTCGGCTTGTCAGCGTCGTCGCCGACGCATCAACGTCGTCGTCGTCGTCTTCTCCGTCGCGCAAAACGTGCAGCGCCGCCTGGCGATCCGGCGCACGTGGGCCGCACCGAGCCGCATGACGCAGGCCGGCGTCTGCGTCGTGTTCCTCGTCGGCAAGACCGACGCGGCGAGCGACGACGCGACGCTGACGCACGAGGCAGCGACGCACGGCGACGTCGTTCGCGTCGACGTCGACGAGGGATACTACAACATCACGCACAAGGCCGTACTCATGCTGCGCTGGGCGACGCACAACTGCAGTGGCGCCCTCTACGTGATGAAGACCGACGACGACTCGTACGTGAACGTGCGTCGGCTGTCGTCGGAGCTGCGCGCGCACCCCGCCGACCGTCCGCTACTCCTCGGCCACCTGCTCGCCAGGGGGCGCCCGAATCGCGAGCCGGGCAGCAAGTTCTACATGCCCTATTCAATGTACGCACCGGAAGAGACTCCCGAGTTCCTTTCCGGTTCCGGTTACGTCATGTCGATGGGCGTCGCGCGCGCCCTCTACGCGCAGGCGCAGCTGCGCCCCCTGGTGTGGTTCGAGGACGTGTACGTGACGGGGCTGTGCGCAGAGGGCGCTGGCATCGCGCGCACAGACAGTCGACTGTTTCGAACGTTTGACAAGCGTGCGAGGACGGAGTTTGGCAACGTGCGCGCGGCGACAGAGAGGAAAGCCATCTGCCTGTACAGAGACAGTGTCGTAGTTCATAGAGTGACTCCCGAAGAGCTAAACTTCCTCTGGGATAAGCTAGAGGACGCTCGTTACGAGTGCTAGGCGGTGCAATGTATAGGAGTATGTGATTATTTACTCCTGATACATATCTATATATATCT